ATTTCTATTCCAATAACTAGGAAAACCAGATATGGTTTTATATTATTTTATTTTGACCATTTCAGAGCAGCGATTTGTTGCTTCAATACTGTCTGACTAGGAACCTCCTCTGTCTTTTGTGTATTGTAGGGAGGATGGAAGTGCTAATGTGGGAAAATTTAAGCAAACATTTTGCTTCCAATTTTAGCTCTCACTCCTAACACTTCTGAATATTTATCCATGTCTATCTTCATAGCTTGAAATTACAGCAATTTTTAAAAAATTATTGAATTATATTTCTTTTTCTCAGAAATCTTTTGCCATTTATTCTGTGTATATTGTACAAAGATGGTGGAATGCCAAGTGTAATGGAGAACTCAAATATAATATGTAATAAATGTTAAAGTGCATAAGAAATCATAGGATTTCAGCAGAAATACAGTGGGATTCAATGAGACGATCATCTTCTAAGCTGTTTCTCACACTATATTTTTTGTTTATCCTGGAAATCACTTACAGTCAAATTACCAGCTTGTACATAAGAATTAGTTAAAGGAGAAAAAGAATATTTTCAAAAAAATAGGATTTCAAAATTGTCCCTTGTTGATTGTACTTACAGGGACTTGAAAGATGCATCCTTATGCAAGTGCTCTTATTTTCTGAGGGTGTCAACACCTCAAATGTGTAGTGAGTTCAGAGCCACACTTTGGTCTCATTTTCTGGCATGTCAAAAAGATGGGTCAAAGTGCTGGATCAGAATGAAACTGTGCACCATCTGTTTTACTGCAGCAAACGGTGCTAGGAAAAGGTCATAATCTGTATAAATAGAATCATGGCATAGTTTAGGTTGGAAGGGACCTTTAAAGGTCATCTAGTCCAAACCCCCTGGAATTAGCAGGGACAACTAGATCATGTAGTCCTTGTAGCTCAGTGAGAAGAACAGATGCAAGTGTTTTTCTTTCACATGATGCTTTTCCTCAGTGTGCCAAGTGCCTGCAGGTAAAAGAAGGCAACAACATTTCAGGGAAAGCCAGTGAGATTAAAAGGCCACCACACTCCTGCTGTCATGAGGATGATATTTTGTCACCATATTCAGTCTCATGAGTGCTTCCGTGTTCTGCCGCTGTTCATGTATTCAAGCCTTTGAGCAAACTGGCATGAGAGGCTGCACATCAGTGTTCAAGGCATACCGTGATGTGAGGAATCTGGAAGGGGGGCCTGAGATTTTCCCTTCTAAATAGGATTGAAATTGCTGAGTATCTGATTCTTACAGACCCTCTTATTCCAAAGGGCCTGAAAGGGTTTCACAAAATTAACCATATTTAGGGGGGAATAAATGGCTTGTTGAAAGAAAAACGAAGGATAAGCCCAAAGCAGAGCCAGTGCTCTTGCTTTTACCTGGGCAGCGCTGCCTCTCAGGAACGCCTTATGCACCATGCCTTGTCTCACTGGGAGTTGTGGAAGGAGCCTGTTGCACCAAGGACTGGGATGGCAGGTACTTTCCCAGGGGCTGTCTGCTATGTGCCTGTGGCAGCCCCTTGTCTTCTGGGCTCTGCCCTGGTCTTCCAAAACTGCCCTGCAGGTTTCCTGCATACCCAGCCACCATCTCTGCATTCCACATTATTAGCAGGATTGTGCTCAGACTTGGGAGGCAGTGGTTCTTTTCCAAGAGGATGTGATGGATTTGCAGAAGGGGATCTCTTGGCAAGTGCCATGAGAGACTGTGGGTCGAGCGACTTAGGGAAGCTATTAATAGTCTCTGTTGAGAAGCTTATATTGCCTCAGTAACATGGATCGTTAATTTTGTTTTTTAATCATTAAGAAAATGCCTTTGATGGAATGTTTGGGACAAAGTTAGGTGTAAGAAACTTTTCTGCTTTTCTTACTCATGTAGCGCTAGCTATTAACTAATTCACTAATTAACTAATTAACTAATTAAGCTTTTAACTAACCTCTTTTTCATAATTTAAAGCTGATGGAATGATTCTATTTGTATGTATACAAATTAGTTGCTGCTAAATCATTATTTTGAGTTGTCTTGCTTCCTGAGCACTCTGTGTCTGTTGATGAGAAACTTAGAGCAATAGAAATGTAATGCAAGCAAATTAAAGGAAGTGTTATAGGGATCTATCCGAGACATTTATCCTGTATAAATGCCAGTTCCTAATGAAATTATGAGGAAATAAGTGGAATTTATTCCTGCTAATATACATTATTTTCTCCTTTTAAAAAATGTTCACTACAAGATTAAGATGTCTTCTCCTTAAGTTTCCTCTCTCAGTATATAGGCTGTTGTTCTCTGCTCAGTGCCATTTTCACTTGCTTCACTCTCCTAAAAATCAAACAGGTAAATAATCAGTCTCTGGGGCAGGCTGTGATTCATAAAGGAAATAAGCAGTGCACCATGCACAAAAAATTCAGTGGATGGGTTAAAAATAAGATGTGCATCTCTCTATTTTCCTACCACCACCCTATACAATGGAGGACATAAATAGGTGTTAGTGGCCAACCTACATCCTTATTTTGTCTTAGATACATGTGGTTGTACCAAGAGTCACCAACAAGAGGAGGATTTGCAGCTCTGCTTGAGGGTCTGCAGCAGCTGCTGTGGTGCTTTGCCCACAGAGGCAGGGCTGGAGCCCAGGCAGCTGAACCAGAGCACCAAGGGTTTGTGTCACGGTCTCTGCAAGCTGACTGCCGCCAACAGTGTTCTGTAGAATAAAGTGATTGTGTGTTTCTTATATCAGTTGCCAATGATGATAACTGCGTCCAAAGATGCACAAATGGCAGCTGCCTATTTTGAAAGCCAGGTGTCACCCTGAGCAGGTAGGAGTGAATACCTCTCTGGAGATGCTCTCTGATTTCTGACCCAGTACTGGTGCCTTTTTCATGCCTTTGTTCCCCATTAGGCTGACAACACCTGCTGTACCACTGCCTGCTTCTCTCCTGGATCCCAGTCTGTTCCACTTACTGAGGTCTCCCTTGAACCAGATTAAAAAATGTCTTCCATGTGTACTGGACTTACATGTCTACGGCTTTCTTGAAAGTGAACATCTTACATTTAGATAACTGAGGTTATTAATGCAGAAAATCAGTGCCAGTTTGTTATGTTTGAAGCCTTTTCATGCTATGTTCATTAAAATCTCACTGTGATGGATTTTTTCAGTAAATTCTTTGAGAGGCTTTTTGTATCAACAAATCATAGAAAGCTTTTTAAGATTAAAATTAATATTACTGAATTTCTTTTACTATCAGTATAACTCCTGAAGGCTTTTTTAACCATGAAACAACCTTGCCAATCCAGTTTCTAAACTTACTATGAACCATAGAAGAGTAGTAACCAAATTACAAGGAAGCAGTGCATTTCAAAGTATGACTTACAAAGTTGTTGCTGTCTTAATATCCTGAAATGCTAAAAAATGCCAGTAACTTTGTGGTGAACCTTAAGGACAGCCCCAGATAATACAAATTGTAGTGTTACAGACAGAAAATGTCTTAATACGGACACAACTATTACTAAATTTCCTTGGCCTTTCTAAAGGCTCATGCTTTCCCCACTGTGTAAAACATCAAGAAGCACAATGATGAGTAAAATCCATTCATATGGTTCATGATTCCTCACAACTTCAAAAATTGGACTTTATATTGCTGTTTTATCATATTTAGTATAGTTATGTTCCAATGCTGACAGCAGGGCAAATGCAATTACAATGCATCTACATCTCCCATTGCCTGTTCTGCTGCTGCTCCTTGTTAGGCTCTTTCCCAATGGAGTCTGGCAATGTATGGTTTTTGATGTGGCAAATGAAATCATAAAATCACAGAATAGTTTAAATCAGAAGTGGATCATCTAGTTCAACCTTCATTCAACATAAATCCAACAGAAGCAGGTGAGACTGGGCCTTCTTTAATCAAGTTTTACATTTCTACAGAGAATGAATTTGTTCCCTGTTTAATTGGGATTTTCATTGGGTCCGTTGCTTCTCATCCCATCACTGTCTCTCCTTGAGATGATTCTGGCTGTTTCCTTTGTTGAGCCTCTTAAGGCTGAACAAACCCAGCTCTCAGCCTCCCCTTGCATATGCTGAGCTCCAGTCCCCTGACCAATTTGGTAACCCTTTACCAGACTTATGTCAGACAGACAGCTTGCAGTGAACTTGATTGTGCTGTGAAGGAGAGAGATTAAACACCACTGTATAGGAGTGAGAATGGGAGGAGAGGTGGAGAAGAACTTACTTTTTCCAGGTTTCATAAAAAAAGGAAGTAACTCTGGAGATGCTACATCCAGACTGGACGGGGGAAGTGCTGTGGCAACTGAATGAAGTCACTTCTCCTCTGCTCTGCAAGGACAACACTTATATAAATCTGTGCCAATGACTGCTCAATTTGTGAAAAGCAAAAGAGAAGAGCTTATAGAGTCCTCTTTGGCATGAGAGGGTGGCTCAGAAAAGTGAGGAGTTCTTGACAAAAAAGGAGGACAGGGGTTCAGAGGGCAGGACGGATTGGGAACTTTAAGGGATATGCACCCTTGTTCAATAGTTTTGATGAAGCCTGAGAGGCTCATGCACAGTCTTTGGGTGATGAATGAAGCTGATTGCCCCAGGTGGGTAATCGAAATGGATAAGAATGTGCAATGGACAGAATAAGCTGCCAGCATGGACTGCTGGAAGACATAATCTAAAGTTGCTTTTGGGTTCTAAACTTCCCTGTTCAAACACAACACCAGAAGGACAACCAACACCAGGATTAGAGCCACATGAGAGGGGAAATGTTACCTTGTCAAGCTCATTTTCCTTGAGCCTGACTACTGGGTTGTGACAGTGATGCTCAAGATCCAGTTGTCTCAAAGAGGAAACACTTCTCCCATGGCCTCATGTCAATTGCAGGTTCAGCCAGAGTCTTTAGCTCACCTTCAGTGCTCTTTGCTCTGCTTACACAATTCAAAGTGCTTCAGACTTTGTATTTTGCACCTCTAACTCATCCCCTTTGATGGTGCTTTAAGGACAATACAGTCAAACTCATACTGGTAAGTAAACTTTATTTTGCCAGCTGAGAGACTGCCTCTAACATGCATGACATAAGTCATACACAGACAAGGAGCCAGCCATGACCTGTGGGTTTGGACTTTCAAAAAAGATCAAACACTAAGCTGCACTAGAGATTGACAGTGGTAGAAGTTCTTGGAATCTTGGCCTGTGTTCCCCAGGTCTGTCACACGTAGGTCCCCATCCTTTCTCTTCTTGCTCAACCTCCCTGCCAGGTTGCCTCAAGAAGTATGTCAAAATCTTCTGTTTTTTTCCCATAAGCTGTAGATAAACATGTTCCTGATACTTATCACTGCAGGGTGTTTAGGTGGTTGAAAGTGCTCTGCAATTCTTTGAGCCTCTGCGTGCCAGCTCTCAGCCCTGGTCACTGTGTTTGCAGCTGGTGCAGGAGAGAAGATGCCATCTTAATTCAATGTGGGTGTTGGCTCAAGGTTTCTTTGTAATGCTGGCCATTTATTCCTAAAATCAAACTCTACTTTCATTTTGCTTGCATGATTGTTGAACAGGTCTCCATGAGATGCAGCTGTTCTGTAAGAAGTATCCTCAGATGGTGTGTTAAAGCTTACACAGACTCTCTCAGGATGAGAGATGGGGTGATGTCACCATGAATATTCCTGTTGTTGGTTAGACTGACAATCTCTCTTCCTTCTTCATATTTTTTTTTTACATTTAAGTAGTGGTTAATACCCTTGATTATTCCAGTATCCAAAACATTTTTGGGTCAGGCCATGCTATTAATGTGCTCTGAGGACAGGACCACTGCTAGAGGAAGTGACCTCTTTCCAGTTTAGATGCTCCATGACATTCTACAGGGAATGAAGGGACAAAAAGAGATGCTGCAACTGACTTGTTTTCAGTGCCTGCCAGTGCATGTAAATGGCAGCGCAGGCCCTCTGTACTTGGTATATTCACACATTCACCAGAATTGCTCTTTCTATGTGACTCAAGAAGAGTTATTTTAATTAAAGCATGTTGGTGAGTATTGAGGTGTAAATTCTGACCATCAAAATTGAAGGATTATTTAGTTTTCATTTACCTTGTGTGGACATCTGAAACCTTAAGGGCCACATTTTGGTTGCTGTCTGTTTTAAATGGGAAATCTGCAGGCTTGCATTTCAGTAAAAATGGCCCAGTGGTGGATTTCTCCTTTCATGACCAGCAGAACCACAGCTGCTCTGAGCCTGTGTGAAGCACATTCCTTCTTGTCTCTTAGCTCGTCTCCTAGCAGCTGGCTTGTGGGTGTGTGTATATTTTAAAAAGATCACCTAAATGTGAAAAAAACCAGATGATTTTGTTAAAGGAAAAGAATTCTTTATCAGTTTTTCTTTCTCACTCTTCCCTAACTGTAACAGGTGTGTAGAGGTGAGAAGGGTCCGTCCCTGCAATCACAGCAGGATGTTGGGATAGCTTCATGCTTTCCCTGGGAGATCCTGTATGCATGCCAAGGCATTGTGTAGTCTACCAGCTTGTGAAAATTCAGTTGTGAAATCTGCCATGACATGGCTGCCAGTGGAAAAGGAAGCCCCCATTTACAGTACTAAAATATGTTAACTGGCTACAGAGATGCAGGTAGATATTTGCCTGTTTGAGTTCCTCTCAGCACTTATTAGGTATGAGAAAATCTGTGCAGTAGTTTACATCGATCTTCCTGTAAAATTACATTGTTTTAATTTTCAGGCAGTTTCCAGTCTCCCCCACTTAAACAAGCACTTTTGCTATGATATGTGTCCCGCTTAAGAGATGAAGGTTTCTCCTATTTGATTCATGTAATTTCATTTTGGTTTTGAATTTTTAAACAAGTATAATAAATTGTGACAAAGTGCAGTGTTCACTCAACATCTAGATACTTTTGTACATTTTTTAACTCATTATGATAGTTTATACAAATTTTCTGTGTTTCTAAGATTTTTACCGGCCATCTGCATTACTATAGTTTCTTCCCTGCAATTAAATGAGGATTTTAAAAAATCCTTTTTCCCAGCAAGTGTTGCAGGTGTTTGATATTATAAATGTTGAGATGACTGTGGCTCGGGGTGAGCTCCTGAAGCTACCATGTGTTCCTGTGGTTGCTGTGTCCTTCAGACCCTTCCTGTAGTCCCATCACAGGACCCCTCCCTACGTCTGCCTCCCTACTCCCAGCAGTGAGGCATCTCCAGCTGGCAGCTGTGCAGGGTTGTGCCAAATCCTGCTGGGATTTTGTTTCAACTTAGGCACTTGAATTTGCTCTGTTTGTCCTCTTAGATGTGTGCACGAAGACAGCACTCTGAATGCAGAAAGGTCACTGCTATTTGCTATTTGCAATTCCCTCTGAAACTAATTATTATGGCTGTTTTCATAGAATCATAAAAGGGTTTATGTTGGAAAAGACTGTTAAGATTATCAAGTCTAAACATTAGCCCAGCACTGCCAAATCCACCACTAAACCATGTGCCTCAGTGCCACATTTACACATATTTTAAATACCTTCAGGCATGCTGATTGCACCACTTCCCTAGGCAGCCTGTCTCCAATGTATGAACATCCTTTTGGTGAAGAAACTTTTCCCACTATCCAATCTAAACTTGCCCTGGTGCAACTTGAGGCCATTGCCTCTTGTCCAGTCACTCGTTACCTGGGAGAAGAGGCTAATCCCCACCTCATTGCAACCTTCTTTCAGAAAGCTGTAGAGAGTGATAAGGTCTCTCTCAAACTAAACACGCCCCAGCTCCCTCAGTTGCTCCTCATCAGAATTGTGCTCCAAACCCTTCCCCAACTCCATTGCCCTTCTCTGGACACACTCATAAGAGCACTGTGAGAAATGGTGACAAAAGCTCTTCTACAGTCCAGGCAGAGGACGTCCACAGTCTTTCCTTCGTCTACTGAGTGGATCAACCTGTCACAGAATGAGATGAAGTTGGTCAAGCAGGATCTGACTTTCACAAATGCATGCTGGCTGTGCCTGACTTCCTGGTTCTCCTTTACATGGTTGCATGGTGGCACTCAAGGTTATCTGCTCCATGATTTTCCCAGCACTGCAGTCAGGTTGAAAAACCTGTAGTCCCCCAGATTGTCATTCTGATCCTTCTTGAAGAGCGGTGTCACCAAGGATAACTTCCAGTCTACTGGGACCTTCCTGTTTAGCCAGGATTGCTGGTAAATGATGGAAAGCCTTCAGGAGTTATATGGATAGTAAAAGAAATGAAATAATATTAATTTTAATCTTAAAAAGCTTTCTATAAAAAGCTGTCTCACTGAGCTCTTCTGGCAGCTTCCTCACTACTCTTGGGTAGATCTTCTGTGCTCTTGTAGGACTTCATTGCAATGTTTTGTAAGCTTGGCTAAAACCAGTATATATATATGTGTGTGTGTGTGTGTGTGTAAAAAAAAATTTTTTTTTTTTCCCAGCTGAAGCCCTGAGTCTATCTTTTAAGCTATTTGATTGGAGTGGGGACACATCTTGTCCACAGGTATGGAGGACTTCTTTTCTTTCAGGAGCAGTGCTTAGCAAACAATCAAGCCTCTGAGCCTCTACTGCTAAGTAGCTCAAGACAGATCCAGTACTGTCCTGTTTAAAGCCAGACACTGGCTAAATCATGACAGAGACAGAGACAATAAATTCCTTTAAAACCTCATTAGGACTCTCCTTTTCCAGAAAAAACAGTGAGATCACCTTTTCTTCATTGTCCTGTCTGTTTTGACTGCTGTATATCTATGGCGAAATCTGAACTAGGGCTATTAAACTCATCACCAAAAATAAATAGCAAGGAAATAAATTAAAAATCTAAGTATTCCAGAAAACAATGACTCCCATTTCAAAGACTAAGCACATGCACCCATTTCCCAGAACATATGCTTCAGGCAGACAAAATGGACAAAGTGGACAAAGTGAACAAGGGCAAAAATTACCTTAGAGACACTGCTGTCCTGAAGCAGAAGACTAATATTAGGTCTATTAAATGTCCCAGAATGGAGCACTTCTCCTCACTGACGTGTGGCTGTGATCCTGAGACCAGCTTCCCCAAGGAAGAGCTACTCTTTGTGAATCACTCTCTTAATGTCAGCTGGACTGTTGCTTTCCCCCACATGATGTTTAGTCAGAGCTGTGTAGAACATGTGCAGAGCTGTTGGATGACTACATATTCCTTAGTTTAAACTTGTTCCTTATTCTTTCAAGTGTCCCTGAGAGTAATTACTTCTCTCTTTTTTTTATGAGTCATCACTTCATCTTTTGCGTAAGTAAGAGGCAGGTTGGCTCTATCAACATTTTCACAGCCCTGATAATATATTGATTAAGTCTTGTTTTCAGGCTAGAGAGAACCCTGGTCATAAAAAAAAACAAGAGAAAAATCTCTGGTTTTTTTTTTTTTTTTTTTCTCTATAAGCTGTTCTTAGACTTCATGGAATTTCACAGAGTAGGAAGAGTCACAAACATGGCTTTGTCTTTCTGGTTTGACTATTAGACATATATTAATGTTATATAGTTCATGAATAGCTAAAAGGATGTTGCATTCAGAACAAAAAAACCAAAAACACTTATGGGAGTGTGTTTTTTTGTAGCCAGCAAATACTTGCTGCACATGAGTGTTATACATTTTATTGTAAGATAGATTAGAGGTACAGAAAAGGTTTTTTAAGTAAAACAGCATATTATCTTTTTCTGAATTTGCCTGATTGTTCCCAGGTAGACCCTTAATCAGTGCCCTGTGATGATAGCCATGTGAATTTAGCAACTTTGAAAAAGAAGGATAGTGAACTGTCATGAGCTGGTTAGGACTGACAGGAGGAGCACTTTCAGCATTAAACTATTGCAGGGGAAAATCTTCCAAGTCCTGTGATGGAAATGCCCTGATAGCAGTTTTCCCTTGAATCTAACATACTGGCCAGGACTGAGTTGCAGTTCTGGGGACTTCTGAGGGGAAGAAACTCACAAATAAGCTGAATGTGAGGGACTCCTGCGACTTTGCTTGAAGTCTGCAGTGTGAAGATTGAATAGCCTGGTCAGAAAAGGATGAAGATTTGGGAATGATTGAGAAAAGTAGTGCAAGCTGTTCCTCTGGAGGGAATTCTGAGTTGTGTTTGCTGAAGGTTATTATCTTCACAGCAATCTTGTTTAAAATAAAGTTGTGCATACCTGATCTTAAACATTGTGATTTATGTGAGATATGCACAAATAATGCATCCTAAATTTCTCTGACTGTATATGGATGTATGTTCTATTGCCTGTGAAACACAAAATGATACACCGGGATGAATTTACAGGAGAACTAAAGTGTATCTGAAAGAATTACAGCTAGAATTACAGAAAAAGTACTATCAGAGTACTCTAACTTTTGTTAGCTGAAGAAGATCCATCATATATACCACTTGGGAGTAAATAATAGCAGTGTGAGACACGTCACTTGGGGCTTGTTGACTCAACGTGCAGCAGGATAGAGCTGTCAAAGTGATCATCACCGAACTTCGTGTCCAACTATTGTTCTTATATGTTTGAGCCTTTGAATTATATTTTTGCATGGTCTGTGACTGTGGTCTGTAATTAAATCCTATCAAAAAGGAAAGCTATCCCCTTGCATCTAAAAACATGCTTTGCAACTTATAATATAAATGGTAATATGATTTTTCATTAATGAGTAAAGACAGGAGGACTGTCAGATCAAAACCAGTTTGTTAACACTACCCTGGAATTCATGAGAGAAGGCTTTGGTCTTTTCAAGGGTCTCCTTGGTACAGCCACAGGATAGAGCCCTGGAGGGAAGAGGGGCCCAAGAGAGCTGGATGGTTTTCAAGGATTGTTTCCTATCAATAAGCTCACCAAGACTGTGACACTTCTATTGACCTTCATCCTTAAATCCAACAGCAGAATAATTAGTTTTCTTATGTAAATAGGAGTTCATACGTTGAAATCTGCTACATGTTGTTTCTAAGGCCAATCTTTCAATCACACAATTTCATCTGTATGCATAAATGCTTTTATTAACTCATTTAAAAAGAGATATTGAAATAAACAATATGTTAAATTGATGTTAAGCACAGTTTTAAACAGCCTGTATCCCAACTGTGCCCTTTGCTTTGTGATTTCTTTACTATTTCTTCACAGACACTACATTTTTAGTGAGTGCCTGTTTGGTAAAAAATGCTGAAGACAGTTAGATCTGAGGTCAGGATATTCTTATATACTGTCAGGGTATTCTTATATACTGTCTAGACAATAAAGCCACAGTTTCATTTTATCTAACTTGAAAGACTTAACTGAGATATCTAGGCAGGCTCAACCTAGGTCAATAGAGAAAGCACGTCTCAGAAATGAAGAGACACGTCATGCACCATAGTTCATGCTATTCTGAAAGTGGATGAAACACAAACTACTTATCTATACATGAAGAAGTTAATACAGTACTATCTGTGACACAAAGTTCGATTCATATATATTAATCTATTAAAGATGTCTATTCAGCCAACACTTTCACAGTTTAGTGGCAGATAGAAAAACTCCATTCAAACAGTTCTGAAAATCACAGTGTAGTAAAAGATGCCCTCATGGGGATGTTTAAGTTGAAAAGTGTCTTCATCCAAGAAAAAAGGACATGTGTTTAAGCAGCCTTCCATCAACCTGACCTCTGGATGTGGAACAAGAGTGTGGGCATCATGAGATGCTCTTCTTCAAAACATTCTGTTCTTGCATGCACATGGGCACAACATCTGAGGAAGAGCTGTTAGCATAGGATAAATGTCAGTTCTTTATCAGCATGTACATGCCTGTTTGTTCATGTCTTCACAGTAAATCAGCTTAGCATGATATTAAAAACTGAAAGACGAAAAGGTAAGAAGCAAATCGAGACAGAGAATGCCAGCTCACCCAGATTTACTAGCAAATCCAAAGTACCCAGCAAAACAAATACACATCAAACTGCGCCTCAGCAACAAAGGAAATTAAGTTGAACAGCCTGTGCATCTTTGCCAGTTACTGCTTTCATGGCTAGCAGCAGCACAAGACCTTGCAAGACATATGAGAAAGCATCAATCTGGGAAAAAAAGAATCCTAGTCTCAGCACCATGCACTTCACGTAAGGGAAAACTATTAGGGTGTGCCTGAATATTCTGCGCTTGAAAGTAATATGTTTCTAGAAATATTTGGTTTATAGCACTTGATCTTGAGGCATCACTAGCTGTTACATCCAGATAATTTCCTTACCATCCTGGAGGGGCTGCTGACATTACAACAGATTGAGCATGAAGATCTGAATAATTTTTCAGAAAGAAATACACTTTCCCACACAATACAGCTGAAAGCAGCAGTTACACAAGGCTAGGAGGGGAACAAAGGGCTGCCAGAGTCCAAGAGCTGACAGGTTGGACAGGAACCAAGGTCAGCATAGTGCAAATCCATGTTGTGATCTAGTATCAGATGCCTCATGAGGAAGGCACCAGAAAACAGCACACTGCAAGTATGGCATACTTTCCACTCAGAAAGGTCTCTTGCAGTGCCGGTGGAAACTGCAAATCTGTGTAGTTAGGAATTCTCTTAGCCACAGAAATAAGGATGACTTCCAAATCACCTTGCTATTATTTTGTGATAATACCAGGTATTCTTTGTCTAAAACCTACAAGTCTTCAAATTATTGTAAACTCCTGGCAACATATTCTAGTCTTTTGTGTTTTGGCACAAGAAGAATCTTGCTGAAGTACCTATGAAGGGTGCAAGACAGGATGTTTTTTTTAAATCAAAGAACAAAATATAACATTTCACTCATAATGAAACTAAGATGGAAACAGGATGTGTCAGGAATGATTTTTGAGGAAAAATTGTATTCTATCTCAGTAGTAGATGCAGCCAATTAATAGGCTACCAACGGACAGTCTGCAGTTGTTTGATTTTATTTTTTTTTAATTTAGGTATTCTTAATATCTCTTACTAAATTTGTAATGTTTTTTAAATTTTGTCTTCCATGACTTTTGCAGCAGTATGCATCTTGTCAGTGATAGCTGTGATGATGTTAGAGGAAGCAGTTTATTTTTCTCATGGATTTAGTTGTCTTGATGGCAGTTATTTTCTTACAAAGATGCTGGGTTTGCTGGAACTTGTTCCACTGCAGTTTGTGTTTTCTTTAGGCACATTCTATATTTACCTTTTTGTTGTTGTTGCAATTTTTAGGACATTCACAGTATTATGAAGCAGACCATTTTTCTCACTTCTGGGCTTTTTAGATGTATGTACATAAACAGACAAACACATAAATATTCAGTATGAATTACATACGTTGTATGATGCATATGTATAACTTCATAATATTTTCAAGAGAAGGTGTACTGGATATTTTACAGACACCAGTTCAAAAATTATTTTCAGCATTTTTTATTTCATTTATCCTTTATTAGCTTCAGGACACGTAATTGAAAAGCCTTATGTTAAAGGCTGCATCCTGCAAGCAGCAGAAGCCATTCAACATCTTTTGAATTTATTTGGAATTTAGGACCTGAAGCACCTTGCAACAATGAGCCATAGTCATCACTTACTGGCATCCCACACCATAAATCCACAAACCAGAAGGGGCCCCTGTGGCTCTGCACAAACTGATGTGAAAGTCTGGAGCATTTCTAGTGATGGGTTGAACCAGGACAGAACAGAGTGGGACAATCATGTCCCTGAAATGTCTGACAGTGTCCTGATGCACCCCAGGATATAATTGGTTAAGCATTTGCATTCAGCATTAAAATCAGGCAGGCTATTAAATTATTTTCTTGTTTCTGTTTCATAACTCAGTGGTTCTGGTTTTGCAATAGTAGAAATACATCCCCTGCTGTGGGCTGTGCCTTCATGAAGTGGTGAGATAACCCAGAGGTGAGCAGCCCTGTGTTGCAGAGCCAGCAGAGGTACAGCCATCATACAGACAGGTGGAAAAGCTCTACTTCAGCCTGATGTCTGGTCTTTGGTGTGGATTGTTCCCCCCTTGATTCTTGTGTGGAAGATTCTTTAGAGGTTAGCTTAATTCTCTGGGATGTAGAAGAGCTTTC